ACTTTATTACCTTAAGCAAGCATCTCGTAGGTGGTTTCTCAACGATTCTCTTGTGCAATCCATGAAATTGGGTTTCAACAATAAAATACTGACTACTAATTATTTAAAAAGGTTCGTGGAGATTCTATTATACCATTGTATTACTTCATGTTGATAACATAAGTATTACAGACAATAATGAGGATTCTATCAGCGATCTAAAAAAATATATGAATAGTTGTTTCAAGATCAAGGATCTTGGATTGCTCAAATATTTTCTTGGCATCGAAGTTGCTCGTTCTAAAGCTGGAGTGGACATATTGGAAGAATCCAGACTACTGGGAGTAAAACCGACAAGTACCCCTCATGGAACATGATTGGGTGCTAACAAATACAGGGAGGGAAGCTCTCCAAGATCCAACTCGATATCTTAGGTTAATTAGAAAGTTGATATATCTCACAATTAGTCGATCCGAAATTACATGTTCTGCGAATACTATGAAGCAATTAATGCAAGAATCTAGCTATGATGCATCGTCTTAAGGCTGCCATCTACTGCTCCAATACTTAAAAAGACTTCTCCAAGATAAGGATTATTATTTCCATCTACTTGTCCACTTGAATTGATCTGACACTGTGATGTTGACATCCATGCTCCAACATAGTGTAGGAAAAAAATCAATTCCAACACTAGTATTAGTTTAGACTTGAGCAAATCGTCTTGGCACAAGTTTGTTTGTTTATTTATTTTATTTTTTAGTGGATGTGACAATTACTTATGAGTTAACCTCGTGTTAGCACTTGACACAAGTTATGTATATTGCAAAATAAAATTGAAAAGTAAAGAAAATATAAATTAAAAATACTAATCTAACTTTTCACGTGTTCATGTCCTGTTGTTCATGTTGTAATTAAAGAAACAAGAGAATTGAATTTGACTCTGCCATCTACCAAAAGTTAGACAACTAAGCGGCAAAGCTGGATGACAGAGCTCAGAGTCAAAAGTTGAGAGATCCCCAAAAAGTAATTGAACCAAGTGGGGCAATAATTGTGGAGGAAAATCCAGTGCTGCCATTCAAGAAGCTTTGATAGTAATAATTAATAAAAGACACACAAAATTGCAAAGTCTAATCCATAATTAATTGATTAATAAGGTGTCTCAAGAGAAAATAAAAATTGATTAGTGAGGGTAAGGTGCCTTAATCGCTTAATGTAATTAAATCTTTTTGTTATAGTTATATTGAAAGTAGGGTTTAATTGGTGTAATAGGGCGGCTTAATTACAATAATGTCGCAGGTTTGGAGTGTAATTTCTTTTTGTCGAATCTAAAACTCTCTAAAAGAGGTAGATAGACCTTAATCATTGCTAAAATTTGACAGTGATCATCATTATTAAAATTAAAGTTTAAATCTATTTTAGTTTCTAAACTTTCTAATCAATTACTTTAATCGGACTTGATATACTTTCAAAATTCAAATACCAAATAGGCATAAAAATAAAATTCTTTGCATTGTGTCAATTAAAATCTTCGAACTAATAATTTCATGATCAAGTAACTTTGCAGGTGATCAAGTCAATTAAAACACCAAGCTGATAATTTCATCCATTAAAATTTTAAACTTGCTTAAGTGACACAATTTATATCCTCATTAAATTTTATTGGAACACCATTAGATCAATTATGAGCTGAGATGCGACGTGCGAGAGCTATCATTTCATATACATCGTCAAATGCATGTTACTTTGACTTGTTAATCTGTGTAAGTTAATACAGGGAATTACAATTAAGAAGACTAAAAAAAGTGTCAAAATATAAATTAGTGGCTCCACAAATGGATCCAAATGAGGTCATGCCAACATGTAGTTATCGCCTTTTTTGGAAATCCCTCCACTAGATGAATTTAGATTCTCATATTGTTCGAGAAAAGAGTCCCGAGACGAGAAATTAAAACAATCTATGTACGGATCGGAAATCAAACTGCAGATATATTTACATAGTCGTTGTGATCAACGACAGTACTCCATACACATCTTAGTAGTCAATGGGAGATTGTGGCAAATTGTGGATCTAGATTATTTCTTTGATATGGTACATAATTATTGAAGTTAAGGTCTAAATCCATTTCCGTATCTAAACTTTCAAATCAATTATTTTAATCCGATGTTCAAAAGATACTATATATTTTTAAAATTCAAGAACCTAATAGACAAAAAATAAAATTTAGGAAAATTAATTTACCACTTTGCATTGTGTCAATTAAAATCTTCAACTAATAATTTCAAGATCAGGAACTTTGCAGATGAGGTCAATTAAAACACGAATCTAATAATTGAGATAATGTCTACGGAGGGCTGTTTTAGAAACTTATTTACACAAATGTCTAAAATTTTCTAATTTTACACTTTTAGATTTCTGCAGGTAGGATTTTATTTTAATTCCGATTTTACCCTTATTTATTGCATTTACATTTATTATAGTTATTTATTTTTTTTTTAAATATAAAAGATTTAATTTCATAAATTATTATCATAATTCTTTGATTATTGCGGCCCCATACTAGTTTTCAACACAAATCACTTAATTCACATATTCAAAACCTTAGTTTACTCCTTCAAAAATATTGATATTCCCTTAATTCACTCCAACCCTGGTGCTCAATCTTCAAAGACAATTCAAAATCGCAAAAACATCTTTTGAAGTCTCAATAAATATATATTTGCATATTCAAAAAATATATTCAAAGTCACAGTATATATGCACTTATATATCTGCATATATACATTCAAAATCACTATAGTATATATCCGCATATCCCATATATACAAGTTGAGTTATAAGATATATCATAATCAAGCTCACTATAATATATATCCTCATGTATACAATAGTTCACACGAAATCAGAACTGTTGGAATGCAAACTTTTTGATCAGGATAAACGGAGACGAACTGTTCTGACGACGGAGAAAAACTGAGGCAGCGAAGATGAAGGCAGACAGACGTTGGCCAGAGACGAAGGCGGGCAAAAACTACCGAAGAAGAAGGAAGGACGGAAATCTCATTTCGAACGGGATAAATGGAGACGGGCGACGAAGCAAAATGGAGCCGGCCGGAGAGGAAGGTAGATAGAGACAGACGGTTGGAGAAGAAGAACGGACGGTCGGAAGAAGAAGAACAGACGGTTGGAAGAAGAAGAAAGGAGTTTCGAAAATCGATAATTTTTGGGATTTTTTTTATTTTGGAAAGTGTAATTAAGCACTTAAATTGTAACTTCCCAATTTACCATTTCTAGATTAAAAAAATTATTTAATATTAAGATGGATTGATATACTAATTTGTGTGATGGGTATCATGGTAACGTTGTTTCATGACAAAAGTGTAAATTTTATACCTTTCAATCCTTTTATGTAATTATGATTCCTAAATAGGTTAATCAATGTACTAATCTCCTGATAATTTCATCAATTAAAATTTTAAAGACACAATTTATACCCTCAATAAAATTTATTGGAACACCATTAGATTGATTAATTATGAGTTGCATGAGATGTGTGGGGCTGCCCTTGCAAATGGATTTTGTTAATTTTGACTTGTATTAATCCCTGTAAATATGGGGAATCAGAAGAAGACTCTAAAATGTGTCCAAATAATTTAACGAAACGAATCTCACTCTTGTGGTGGCTTCACAAATGGAGCCAAATGAAGTCATGCCAACATGTAGCTATCACTATGACTAAGTAATGAGATTTGACAATTGGCCTCTTTGGTTGCCTTATTTTCTAGCTTATGTGGCTTGCATTTCACTTGAATGACATATTTTATTTCAAGGGAAGTAAGGCATTTAAATCTAAATCTAGGTCGTGGAGATAATAACAGGTTCCGCCTTGAGTGCTTTGAGCTCTTATATCATATCCATATTCATGGATTCCATCTCAAGACTCTAATATAAATCTATCAGATTCTGTTTTTTGTTTTCAGATTTACTAAATAAGCGTTTAGCAGATTTGGGAGATTTGTCTTTTAAAACTATTTTCCCAATTCTGTGATCCAAACCGTAGAAATTATGAAAACAATTTTTTTATGTTTTCAGTGTTTTCAGATTCAGAATTTGAAATTCTTAAGATGCAAAATTACATTAAAAAAGATAAAAACTTTTATAAATATATTACTTCATATTATAAACTCATTTTATGTTTGTTAAAATTAAAACATGTAAAATATAATGTATTCTAAATTATATAACATTGTAAAATAATAATTATACAAAATTCATAAAAAAAATGTTAATTAGATTAAACTAAATATTTAGTTTCTAACTACTTCTGTTTTACAAATATATTACTAAACCGAATAACTTTTTAAATTGAGATTCAATTATCAAATCTGCTACCATACCAAATGCATATCTCAAAACAAGAATACAACTCTACTTTTCATAGAATTCATTGTATTCAAATTTTTGTTTTCTGATTACCAAAAAAAAAATACACGTACTCTTATCTTTCTAACGAGGAATCCTTAACAATAATAAAAATTCTGATTATCATGCACGTATCGGGAATCGACAGCACCTGATATGCATATAAAATGACAGCACCTGCCCCAAATAACGGAATCGATTAAGCCACACCAAGTAAATTTAAGATTTTAATAGACGAATTTATTAGAGGTTTTAATAATTTGACGTTTCCCAATATAAACTTATTTCACTATGTTCTTACAAATAACTTAAATCAAAATTCTATTCATAGAGATCCCCAATCTCCCACTGCCCACTCCCTCCAACCTAACTCAGGTTCAGAAATCAGTGTAATTTACTGAGCTGCTCAGTTACATTACAGTAATTTGGCAGTGGCCGGCACTTGTAAGAATCACGTTGGGTTTTGTTTTATTCCAAAGGCTTCATTTATTTAACATATAGCCAATAAATTATTCAGATACGGATCTTGAATGCAGCCATTAATTGTTAAATAAATAACGAATCCAAACAGATAAATGCTTTGTTTTTGCTATAAGAATAATGCAGCCTCACATTTCCATTTCTTGGAGCTCCAAATTTTCTTCATTTCAACAACAAAAGAGACTTCAAAATTATGGGTTCCATCTCACAAACCGACTCCAAACCCCACGCTGTGTGTGTTCCATACCCAGCGCAAGGCCATATCAACCCTATGCTTAGGTTGGCTAAGCTTCTGCACCACAGAGGCTTTCACATAACTTTCGTCAACACTGAGTACAATCATAGGCGACTACTCAAGTCGAGAGGTCCGAACTCGCTCGATGGCTTGACTGACTTTCAGTTCCGAACCATCCCGGACGGCCTCCCGTTCTCGGATGCAAATTCAACCCAAGATATTCCTGCACTTTGCTATTCCACCACCAAGAATTGCTTAGCCCCATTGTGTGACCTTATTTCTCAGCTGAACTCAAGTGATGCTCCGCCAGTTAGCTGTGTTGTTGGGGATGTGGTCATGTCCTTCTCTGCTTTGGCTGCTAATGAGTTTAAAATCCCTCATGCTCTATTTTGGACAGCCAGTGGCTGTGGCTACTTTGGCTATTTTCAATATAGGGAGCTTACAAAGAAGGGATTGGTGCCACTTAAAGGTATGATTTAGGTATCTCGTTAAATAGCATGTTTGATTCTTGTACTTTAATGGAATTAAAGATTTAGAGCACGTTTGAGTCTTGTACTTTAATAGAATTAAAGATTTGGAGCATGTTTGATTCTTGTACCTTAATAAAAATGATTTACTTTTTGTAGTTTAAATTTGTAATGATTTTGGACGATTTAATCCCTATACCATGAAAATGTTTCTATTTAGATGTAATGAGATTTCTTACTTATGTAGATTAATAAATTGTGCCATGTACCAAATAATGCATTTTCAAACTAGGCTAAATTATAAACATACTCTCGAACTTTTCCCTTTGTTCAAAAAAATAGTCCTATTCATTCAAAAGTTTCAATACTCTCGTTGACCTTTCATAAACGTTTCAAAATTATCCTTTTGAATAATGGAAAGTTAATGTGGTAGAATTTAGAACCACGTAGCAATTAACGTGCGTTGATTGGGTTTGGAAAGAGAGTAAATATAGAAAAAGTTATCGTTTTTCAATTTTGCTCCAATCTCCTTTTAGCATTTAAACTACAATACTATTTTTTTGGTAACGCTGGACTAAATCCTTACAAATTTTATTTATTGACTAAATCGTTACCTATTAAAGTTAAAAACTTTTTACTACAAAGACTACACCGCTGCATATGATAGTTGAACTAAATCATCACAGAAATGTATTTTTCAACCTACAAATTGTTTTTAGTATAAAATTCTAGAATTTGGGACACGAATATTTACTTTTAGCCTCCTTATATATTGGTTTTAATTAACAGATGCTAGCCACATAACAAATGGGTATTTGGAGAACACCATTGAATGGACTCAAGGAATGAAAGAGATACGTTTGAGGGATCTTCCCAGCTTTATAAGAACAACAGATTCAGACGACATAATGCTCAATTTTATCCACCAAGAAATCAGCAGATCTCTACAAGCTTCTGCAATCATATTTAACACATATGATCCACTCGAACGAGATGTTTTGGATTCTCTTTCTTCCATCCTTCCTCCTCTCTACACAATTGGCCCACTCCACTTGCTTGTCAACCAAATAGAGGATGAAAAACTAAGAGCCATCGGCTCAAATCTCTGGGCGGAGGAGTCACAATGCATTGAGTGGCTGAATTCAAAGGAACCCAACTCTGTGGTTTATGTAAATTTTGGGAGCATCACAGTGATGACAGCTGAGCAACTGACTGAATTTGCATGGGGATTGGCAAACAGTGAGAAGCCATTCCTGTGGATCACAAGGCCTGATATAGTTGTGGGAGATTCAGCCATTTTGCCACCTGAATTTGTGACACAAACCAAAGATAGAAGCATGATTGGGAGCTGGTGCTCTCAAGAACAAGTG